TTTTACATTTTTTGTGACAAACCCCCCCCCCCCCCCTTTTTTTTTTTTTGCAAACATATATGATCCACATTTTAGGCCTGAGAATTACTTCAACCCCCCCAAAACATATCTTTTCTGAAAGCAAACGCCCTGTAGAATAAAATGATGGCAGTTGCAAATTTTTGTTGCATGATATTGCCGCAACTCTTTATCAAGCACATATTTTGTGACAAATGCCCTTGAAGTAATTTTTAGTGCCCCAAAACACAATAAAATATAAAAGATGAAAAGTAAATAGATACCCAACATGTGTAGCATGATCAAGGTGTGAATGCACGCTGGTGTTGGACTTTAAAAAAAAAAGTATTAAGTATAAAATGAAATGCATGTAAAAAAAAAAAAATGTTTGCTATCACACAGGCTGGCTTACAGACCCCTCCCCACCCCCCCATGTGACAGCATATTGGCAGTGACAGGTCCTCTTTAAGGTGATAGTGGGGATCCTTAGTGTCACCTTCCCACTTTAACCACTTCCAGCGGGTTCACATAAATGTACGTCATCTGCTGGAAGTGGTTATACCAAGAACACAGCTGCTGCTGCTCCTGCACCCGTGTTCTTGGTACTGTTTTATACAGCCGGCAATTGCTGTTTTTAAATCGATCCAGCGTCTGTACAAGCAGCGGATTGCTTATATGGTGCAGCGCCGGTCTCCAAACCTAATCTCTCCCCCCCTCTTGCCGTAGGCTTCATGGGCTCTGCTGTCACCCATCAGAGCCTGGGACCGGCATGGCGAGTCTCCCCTGATGGATAGGAGGAGAGATCAGCAAGCTTCTAGTTGCTGATCTCTCCTCCGATCACTGGACCCGGAAGTGACGTGCATGACATCACTTCTGATGTCACTGGGCACGTTCCCTGGCTCCTAGAGCCTGAAGAAGCTAGTGAAGCAGATCTCTGCTTCTTTGGGGTCCCTAGGTGACATTAGAGGTCTGAGACTCCTGATTTCTCCATTAGGAGGACTTGTTATCCCGCTATGTGATGGCAATAAAGTTTAGTGTAAAAATCAAAGTAATGGATAAAAAAATTAAAATGCAATGTGCACACACACAACGCAAACACTCGTCTGATGCGGCTATGTGCAAAAATGGAAATTGCACCGCACATGTTGCATATCGTAGTGAACATTGGAGTTAGAGTAATAATTCTAGATCCATCACTTAACACTAAACTGATGAGCAGTAAAAGCATTTAAAGTGTTGCCTATGAGAAATTTTGGTTGTTGTAGTTTTTTGCGGTTTCACGGACAAACGCAATTTTAAGGCTTAACATGTTTATTTACCCGGCGTGACCCTGTCTTTTATATTTTACGAAAAAATTGGTATTCTTTCTGGCCGCTTAATTTCATTGTAGTAGTGTGGGGGGCATTTTGCTGGCACATAGAAGCGATCCGCTGGCAGCTGAGCCACCAGAATCACTTCTCTTGTGCAGCCAGCTTTGCAAAGGTAACCTGAGTCCCAGCGGCTTTAGTCTGTTTACAGGGCCGTGCTTCCAATGACTTACTATGTGCGTCCGTGGATGTGCAAGGGATAATGGTTCAATGTTTCCATTCACATCACATGAGCTGAAAAAAAAAAGAAGCTTCTTGCAGTTTAAATTGCTTTTGCGTGGGTTGGGGTTTCTTGGCGTAAGGGTTAAAATGTCTTCTTGCTTCTCCTTTTGTAATGTTAGGAGGGGTGCAGGGCTTCTCCATTGTATGTTAAGTGAATAAGAGAAACGCAATCCTCAAATAGGGTTGCCACTTTTTTCTTCCATCGAAACCCAAACACTCTAGCGACGCACTAAAATTTTTTGGGATAATAAGTAATGGCTTATTTATATGTAAATGGCGCCACCCATTAATATGTAAATATCACATTTGAGACTATTTTCAGTGGGGGGCCAGTCTTAATTTTGGTTGCCCCTGTCTGCCTGACATCTCAAGTCTGGGTTTCTGCTGCCATGAAACCCGGACACAGCATTCAAAACCCAGACTGTCCGGGTGAATCCTGGACAGGTGGCAACCCTATCCTCAAATTTCAGTCCCAAGTCTTTCTTATTAGGACAGATCACTGTGAAGGTGATGAGAAGACCTGGAATCGGCCATGTTGCAACTGAAGTCAGAAACAAATGCTTTTTTTTTTTTTTAAATGCATGCTGTGAATAGATACACACATTAGAGGGGGTTTATCAATTTGACTGCAAAAGTGTAAATACATTTTTAAAGTTTTTTTTAAAAATAATGATAGCCTAGCCAAGA